TACCGCGCGCGACGCCGCGCCCGGCTCATTTTTACGTTGTCGCCGACAAACTTGGTAACTTGGAACTCTGTGCCTGGGTGCAGAGGCTTAGCAGCAGCGTAGCTCAAGGGGACTTGGAGCAAACTGTGGCGTAAAATTCTAGTACCAAGAAAGAGAAAGCAGGGTCAGTGTCGTGCTGCTGGAAGGCCTCGGGTGTGGGCCTCGAGTGGCTTCAAAACCCTGGAAATGAGGCCTCGGACGGCCTCGGCGCAGTAGCAAGGCTCGAGAAAAAACAAGTGTTTTGCTTCTTGTTTAAGTTCGCAAGGTTCAACTACACCAATTACCCGCCCTTCAAAGCCTACGGCGTGGAGGGTTGGTGGTTGGACAACCTCTTGAAGGCCGGCAAGCTTTCCCGCAAGGCGTACCTGAAATTGGCAGCGCAAGTGACGGTGGGCTTTCAGAAGCGGCTCGCAGATTGTAAGGCTGCTGAGCGCTACCTACACGATGAAACGCTCCAGGACGCCATCCGTGCCCATGCGAAGGCGCTGGAGCCAGCAACCCTGCCCATGAAGTCGTTTCCGGTGATCGAGGCCTGGCGAATGCCCATGATTTGTGTTTCCTGTAGAGCGCGCAACATCAAACAACGCAGCATGCACTGTGGCATTTTGCTTCAGGAGTTTGTGGCCTGTCACGACGGGAGCTCTCGGTTTCGACGTCCAATCTTGGCAATTGTGGGAGGAACGCGATTGGGCAAGTCCATGCTTGCAGCCCACACGTTGCAGCATACAGCCCAGCAACTTGGTCTCCCAGAGTACCTGGAGGTCGCTTTCGAGGAGTCTGAGCAGATGGACCTGGCAGAGTTTGACCGCAGGATTCATGCCGGTGTCATCTTGGACGGGGTTGGAGACGCTCTTTTCCTCAAGCGGCACCGTGAAGCCTTGCAAAGCCGTGCGAAGATGGTCAAAGTCCGCGCGACCAATGTGTACTCCTATGCCTACTCGTTCTGTGGACGCGCAGTAGTCGCGACTTTTGACTTGTCCGCGCAGAACTTAGGTGAGCTTGAGAGTGACCATTGGCTTTGCAACCGGGACAATGTACGGCTGCTGAAACTTAACGAAACAGCCTATTTAGAGCCAGCAGACAGCCCGCGCTGATCAGCGCAAGCGGCGCTGGATTGGTTCACCGCCCCGTTGCGCGGCCCTGTTTCCGGGTCCGTAAAATCTTTCAAATTCCAGCCTCGCATAGAAAGGCCTTAACGGTAGTCAATTTTGTCATAGACTTTCAGCAGGTCCAAAGGAATGGTGATCATCTGATTTGAAGACTCGGCCGCCATTAAGTTTGGAAATTTCGGTGGTTTACGACTTCCAGGCCCCAGGACCAGAGACCTTGAGATCGACCTTACAACGCAACAGTTTGAGCTTGGTTCAAAGTCCTGCAGCGGTGATAGGGGACACCGCCGCCCGCGAAAGGGGATGGGAATACACCTGGCACAACCGGTGGTACTGTGTCAAAAGCCTCTTGGCAGCCGGGCATCTTACCTGTTACCTGGAGTGGATTGCTCCTTCTCTCACGTTGGCACGACCCTACAGGGAAGCTATTTTCTGTCAACACCTAGTTTGGGCTGCAGACAAGGGCCTCGCACACACCGCTGACACCCTGCCCGCCAACCCCGGAAACTCTTCACCTCCGACCCTGCTTGCGGGAAGGGGTGAGCGTGATCGCCCTCAAAAAAAGGCACCTTGCCTTGAGGTCGTAGGGACACTCAACACCCAGGTCCCGGGGCTGCAAACCGTCTTCCGAGGAGAGCTTTACGCCACGCTATCTCGACCTTTCGCTCGACTGCTAAGGGGTTCCCAAGAGGGTAAAATCCCTCAAACCGAGCCGCACCAATCCCTTCCATCAGGACGGAGTTGTCGTGCTCCCTGTGGGGCTCAGCGTGCATCCCACCCACTGCGTCCGAGTGTCCAAGCAGCGCTTCCAGTCTGAACGGGTAAGTTTGTCTACCATGCCATTCAACTAGGATGTGACTGGATCCGAGGTCGCGTTTGCCTGCGCTGCAGAAACGGCACCGAAGTCAAAAGTGCGCGGCTATTGCTTTGGATGCCGCAGGGTGCTGCCCTGCGAGCGGGACGCCGGACCCTCCGACTGCGGGTAGGTACGGGAAGCACCCAGCCTGTAATGGGGGCGAGAGTTTTGTAGTTTTGTACTTTTTTTGGGTAAAACCTGGTAGGCAGCTGTAGTGTTGAGAGACGTGAGGGTTTGAGCCAGCCGTGCAACTTTCCGCAGCCTTAGTGAGCCCAATTTGCATTTAGCCCTCCGCGCAGCATTCGGTATCATTGAATGTAGGAAGCCGGATTTTTTACTTCCTTGCGTTGTGGAGAAAGCGGTCGCAAAACCCGTCTATCCTATGTAGTGCCTTGGACCGTATACAAGGAAGGCCAGTGACACTGTCGCTTTTGCATGGCAAGGTTTGTCTTTCCGCCAGAATGAAACCCCGGAGGACAGACCCAGATCAAAGGTCGAGGACAGCACCCGGCCAAAACCAAAATCCAGGATTAGTCCACGAAGCCATAGCTGCCACCAGCTTCACAGTTTCTGACATTTAGTGGATTGGGTTGTCTACGAGAGGCCAAAAATAGAACTAGCTTCATCTGCACCTTGCTTGTTGAGAAACATTTCGATTTTCCCATGTGTTTCCGCAGAGGAGTGGTCAGCTCGTGAGTTTTGCAGTTTAATCATGTTTTGTTGCCATTGTGTAGTGTAGGCGTGCAAGACCGAAACCTCGATTTGTTGCAGCCGTGTAGGCCCGCAGTTTGCCAACATTGCGTCTTGACACTTCAAGGACTGGCAGCAGTAACCTGTGCAGTGGATTCAAGTTGGTGGGCCGTAAAGGTATCCGTCCAAGCCGTTAGTGCTGGCAGGCGAGTGGCAAAATGATTGGCAGCAGGCCAATGTCGTTTGTTTGTGAGAGCTGCAGTTCTGCAGAAGATGACGGAAACTAATTGGACTTGCAAGTAGATCGGGAATATGCAAACAGTATCGTAGAGTTCGGCATGATGTTGCTGGAAATTACATCCGAAATCCAGTCGCCAGGGGCTTCGCGTTTACAAGGCTGGCCCGCCTCGCTGTTGAAGTTCTTTCCGACAAGAGGGTGCTGGTGATGTCTGTTCTGGTGACAGGATTGAATTTTTTGCACATGAAGACTATTGGATGCTGTTTGATGTGAGCCGTGCCACTTGCGAGCAATCCATGCATACGCAAGCAAGATTAGAACAGTCCAGCATGCAGAGCACGTGGATGTGCAATCAGGGGCATCTCCACCTCTGTCCCCCGACGCTAGTGCCTCAGCAGAGAGAACGGAGTGCTGGATTTGGGAATTGGGATGCAATGCTGGCTCTGGTGTTGCAGGCGCTGTTTACAACAACATTACAGAGGCCATCGGCAAAACTCCCGTGATCAAGGCAACGCCCATTTGGGGGCTCGGCCGGCTTGGCCTCTCGGAGCCTGCCAGGTGAACCGGCTGGCGCCCGCCGGCATCAACCTTTACGTGAAGTGCCCAAGCTCAGAACAGTTCTTGCGCACTAGGAGGGAGCCATTCACGGTGAGAAAGGTCCGTTGTTTTCATAGGACACACAGGCTGCGCAAGATGCAGGTGCGAGTACTTCAACCCGCTGAGCTCCGTGAAGGCCGAGCGTTCGATCGGGGGCCCCAAGATTTTCCGAAAGTGTACCTTTGTCGCCTTTGTGCCGCTGATTCTAAGCATCGCGAGGGCCCCGCGTGCGCGAGGGCCGTTCCAGTCAACATGAGCCGCTCACTCCATCTCTCGCCTCCCGCAGACGCAGGATCGGCTTGCCATTGCCATCATCGAGGTCTGGTGGCAAAGCGAAAATCATTTCTTCTGCCGGAGTGGGAAAGCATCAGGACGCTGAGCAGCGGGGAGAGCTGAAGCCCGGCTCCGAGCTTTCCTTTAGCTTTCTTGGGAGCGCCGTCTCTGTCTCAGGCCCGGTGGCACGGTTGTGGAGGTCTCCCCACGCTGTGAGAGAGACCACTTCCCACGAGTGGCCGTGCAGGCGACAAGTGGCAACACCGGCATCGCACTGGCGATGGTGGCCCGGCTGCAGGAAAGGTCTGCTGCCAGCTATGCGTTTGTGGATCTTTGACGACAGAGGTAGTTTGATTCGATCGGGTTTCCATGGCTGTTTCTGTAGAAACATTTGCAGCACGAATGCAGATCACTGCGGCCACGACACGGGAGTGCACAAGCGAGGTCTGTGCCCAGCGAGGGTACAAGTTCGTCTCGACCATGGCGGCCTCCTTCTCGGTGGAGCGGCGGAAGGCACCAAAGCACATCGCCGCACATCCCAGATCCGGTCGTTGTTGCTGCTGCTCGTCTTCTTGAGGTGATGCGGATGCTGGGTGCGAAAGTCGTTGCCAGGCTCTCAGGAGTCCTTGAACCCGCTGACTCTTGCAGAGTCTGGCTACTCGTAAGCTGGGGAAGTAGGACGGTTGCGTCCTCTTGGCAAGACGAGCCGGTTGTCTGCAGTTGGTGTACGTGTGAGGAGCTGAGGTGACGCCGGCACCGTTGGGTGGCACTGGCATGGTGCTCAAAGCCGAGGCTTTGTGAGATTGTTTGCGTGTCAAGAAGCCCCTTCTTCACTCTTCACCTTCCTTCTCCGGCTGGCGGGGGTTGTGCACGGCCCCAGCCTGTCATCCAGCTCTCAACGTTTGTTCCAATCATTGAAGACTGTTCAGTCTGCTGATGATTCCTAGCTTGAGTGCAGGAGTTGGCCGAGAAACACGGCTGGTATCTGGCTCGGCAGTTCGAAAACGAGGCCAAAGCCAAATCCGGTGTACCTCAGTGTACCTGATGTTCGCAGGGTTCCTTTAGCCTGTCTAGTCCAGCTTCGCTTTGCTCTCGGATTCCACCAGGCGAATCCTGCCTACCACGCGTGTGCCTCTGACGGTGAAAGCCGTGCAAGACCGAGGGAAGATTCATCTGACTTCTGGCATATTGTTGGTTTTTAGTGATAACCGCCTTCGCTGGTCATGACGAGCATGCGAAGGCCGCAAGTCCGAAATCCATGATGTGGCTGATGCCGTGGAAAGTCGAATCCCGGTTGAGGCCAAGACAACTGGGCCCGAGATCCTCGCGTCGTGCACTCAAGACATTGGCGAATGCATATTCAGGAATGTGTGAGGCAACACGACGCAGGATTTTAGGTTTGCTGCTGCCTGTTTTGCATTCTCATGGTGGCGATGGCTTTGCATACGTTCTTAAGCAATCGCAGATGTTGTGTATTCCTGAACCTGGCACATTTTTGGCGGAATTTTCAGTTTGAGTCCAGAATGCCTTGCCGCATCCGAAAGTTCAGCGAAGCTTCGCAGAGTTCAAAAGTACAGGGCCATAGGATCTCAGAAACCTTAGCTTGACATAAGCCGAAGGATCCGAAGGCTGTGGCAGCTGGCGAGTTGTCGGCAACTCACATGCTTGGGCTTAACATGTGAGAATGCGCAGGGACTTCGAGGGCAAGAGCTTGGACTACTGGGTCGCTCGGCTGATTCAACGGTCCGACTGAGCTGGTTGTTTTTTTCTGTGTGCCGAGCGTGCAAGTCGTCATCGCAGGCCTGCTGACCGGGTTTCGGTGTGTCACGTGCCATCGATGCAAATTTATGTCGATCTTCGCAAGTTAACTGAGCACCACACGCAAAACACATAACATCACGCAAGAATGTCTACACGCAGACATATACAGACCCTTGTGCTGCTCAAACTAACAAGCTACAGACCACCGCGATCGCCTGACTGTACGATAAGCATGTGAGGGCATGTGAGGTTTCGTGTCCAGTTGAGGTGACAGGTTATGGAACGGGCGGTACCTTCCAAGGAGCAGGCAAAGTGCTGAAGGAGGCTCCGGGCTCCACTGGCTCCACTGGCTCCACTGGCTCCGGGCCGTTGTCGCATGCGGAGGCACGTCCTGGCCTGAAGATCATCCTCTCGGAGCCCAAGGCATGGACGAGGGAATGTTAGCTGCTTGAGGAAAATGCTGACACGTGTTCCTTCCCGTCGTGCTGTCACGTGCTGCAAGTCACAAGCCCAAGCCTAAACCGAGATCGGGCGACATCTCGAAGCAAGCACAACGGCGGATAAATGGGAATCGCTCAATGGCAGGGCGCAGCATTGATCACCAGTGGCATCAAGCAGGACAGCTTTGCATGCTTCTTCAGTCTCGAGCAGGATGATGGATCGAACCGGAGGTGTCTTTCGCCAAGCCGGCTTTGCGATTGTGGGTAGCTTTAGAAGAGGCTTCCTGGCCTCTGTGTCGCAGTAGCTGTTGATGTCCACATATGTCCTCACAGAGTCTGCGAGATTCTCGGCCTTTCTCCGCACCTGTACCAGTGTCTGACAGGAGAGGAAGGAGGTTCTGGGAAAATTCGGTCGACGTCTTGGAGAGTTGGGCCACGTCGCTCTTGAGGAAGTCTCTCTTCGTCCTGAAGAGATAGAGCGTGGATGACAGACTTTTCGTTCAATGGCTTCTCTGCGGGATTGCCTGCATTCGCAGAAAGATTGGTTTCCCGTCTTCTCAACACACCATGGTGATGTGCCGGACGGGTTTGTTTGGAGAGTACAACTGTGTCATGACTAGCCTGTTTGTGCTTGCTTTACCACCTTGTTCAGGCCCTGCTCTGCAATGCGTTTTATGTCTGCAGCAGATTCTACTGGTAGCGCAGGCTGATTGCTCGCTACCGAGGCGCACCGGCGAAGGGGCACCCGGCCGAGGGCTTGGGGTCACTGCTTGTCTGCAGATCGGGCACAGGTCGGGCGTTTGGAGACTGTTGCAGATGCTTTCGGACGCTTTCCGGTGTTTGCAGGCGGGTTCTGGTGCAATCTAGGAGTCCTGTGTTCGTTCCTGGCCCAGAGCCGGCCGCGGCATGAAGGGCGCTGCGTCTCGTGATGCCGAGCAGCACAGAGACGCTCATTGATGCAAAGCAATGAGCAGTGGGGGCGGGGGACGGCACGCTGGGCGGGAGGAGTGGTCTCGTTGTTTTGCCCGGGGGGGGGGGCCGGGGCCTGTGCCGCTAAGGCCTGGAATCCTCATCCTATCCAGGGTGGGGCACTGAGGCACTGAGTCGCAATCACAGGCTTCTTTTGTTTAGCCTTCACAGCACCACATAGCACCACGAAAATCCAAACACGAGGATGGACACCGAACTTCATCCCGAAAGTGACGGAGGCCAGGCCCCAAGAGTTGAGTCGGATGCAACTGCCTACAGGAGCGATGCAACGGTGCATAACTTGCTTGTGGCTGTGGCTTTTGGATCTAGCGCTGTGCGCGTCCGCCGTGCTCAGGATGGTCTAGAGATGAAGGTCCACGACGAGGTACGGGCACTCGGAGATCCAATAGGTCGGAATGGTAAAACGACCAAGAGAGCCATCGTACATCGTTCCTGCCTCGTAAGGTCCTGACCGTCGACCCGCAGGAGGCAGTTCATGGTCACACCATGCAACAATGATGCTGCAGCATGCAGTGTCCTCAAATTCACTAGGAAACCACTGACCTCACCATGTTGGTTTTCCTAAGCAGTGCAAATATTTGGGCTCATTGTACGACTGACTTAGTCTGCTTCATGTGACGAGCAGTGATTTTGACGCTTCCTTTATGGGCTCTTGCAGTCAGGGTATTGATCACAGCGGCCGGGTAAAAGCTTATACATGGTTTTGAGCATCGGAGACTCGATCCGGAGGCCATGAAGACCTCACACGCTTTGGCAAGGAGGGGGGGAGTCCTGGCTTGCGCAGTGCATCAGCTGTTCTCCACTCTCGGGTCAGGATGGAAGGCATCTTCTGCGGGACCTCTGGTGGAGCAACTGTGGCAACAGCACTGGAGGCGAGTCTGAAATAACAGTGTTCCGGAATGTCATTTCGTGTGCCAGGTTGCGGCAAAAGCGCGCGCTGCTCAGGGGACCACTTGCTCGAGTGGAAGGTCCTCCGAGGGTCTGTGCCTTGGGAGCTTCCACCGCTGAGTTGAGGCCGTCTGGCTCCACAATCCTGGCAATGATTCCCGACACTGCTGAGCAGGGGCCCATTGCATTTCGTCGCTCCTTCTGTCGCTGCACATGCGAGGGCAGGGTAGGAGAGACTTGAGAAGTCTCTACGTTGGTACTGATGCAGGTAGTGATGCCAACGTCTGAGAACAACTTGTTTTTCCCGAAAGGCGGTACCTGTCGACCCCTCTGTTCGGCGACATCGATGCAGAGATGAACGAGGTGCGGCCCTTGCTCGAACCCAGAGCTCCGCAGCTCTGCAGCTCCGCAACTGTGGTGCAGGAAGAGATGGAGCTCGCGAAGTCCACTCCCAGCGTGGCAGCCTCGGCGTCCCGGCGTCCCGGTGCTGTGTAGCCTCTCTTGCCCATCCCTGCAGCCAGGCGCAGCCGTGAGATGGCATCCTTCGCCCCGTGAGCCAAGCAAAGCAAGCAGAGAGCCTCGAGACTCGGATTTGCGGGTCGGTGAGGTTCCACATGTTGACTTCAAGGCTATAAGGCTGTCTCCAAGCGATGTATTCTGCATGCAGACTCGAGAGAGCAGCTCTCAGGAATAGATGAAGTGTGAGACTGTAAGATAAGACCATAAGACTGATACTACTATGGTAACCTTCACCGTTCGTCGGAGGGACTGATCGGCCAGTCCCGGCAGTTTTGCACTCGCACAGGTCAGCGTCTTGCTCATAAGCCTAGAGTCTTTAGACTTTCGTAAAAATGGGGAGTGCGAAATCCAAAGTCTGTTCGGTGCTAGTTAGCAGAAGCTCACGAAAGGTTTGGGTTTGGACGCTTGTGCACAAATGTCGCTTACTGACGATTTTCCAGTCTCCTTGCAAGGCTGGGCGCATGGCCCCCAATCCAATTTTTAACGTGGAGGTTTCCCAGAATGTCTCTCCTATGTCTGGATCTCTGCAGAAAGACTTCTATCAAGGGATTTCTGCAGAAGTGAATCTCTGAGCATGCATCTATTGCTTGAACGCTGGACCTTTCTGGGAAATTCTCCAGTCTAGGTGCATGGTGCAGGGCTGAGTAGTCAGCGTCGCTTCCGAGTCAAGAAGTTTGCCAGTCACCTCAGGTGAGATCCATGAGACCGCAAGAGGACCTTACATTTAAGGGCTGATGCCGCTGCCGCCGACCCCGGCAAGCGGCGTCTGGCATATAAACCCCATGTAGCTCGAGAATCGCACATAGTAGAAATTGAGACTGCAAGTGCGCACGAGCCTCCAAGTTTTCGGCTCTCCAGCCAACTGGTGCAAGTCTCGCATTCATCGTCCATTCACCTTAAAACCGCCAGAAGCGCACGAACGCTTTCACGAAGGCGCGGTGGCGTGCGGACGGCACGACACACGTTTGCAAAGCGTGCGTGAGTGTTTTCGTCGAACAGCACAAACCCTAGCGATGCGTCAGGCGCCTGAACTTCCAGGAGATAACTTGTTTTCCGACAGAGACAAAGAACCCGAAGAAGACATGGAGCCGCGTCTGGACTTCCTGCTTAGCCGAACGTCGCTGCTGTAGATGCCTGCAAGTCCGGAAGACAAACATGTTCAGTGGGGGGCTAGAGGGAGGGAGAGCGGAGGTGTGAAAAAGGGCGGAATGCTGGCGACAAGCTGAGTAGTGGGGGAGTTTCGGCAAGAGGTAGGGGCGGGGTAGGATGGGGGGTAAGGTGGTTTGTGGAGTTAGAGCCGGAGGGCCAAGCGAGGGGGTAAGGTAGTAAGGGACTGGGTTTTGGCGAACACAAGGCGTATTTGCGTCATTTCGAAATTGTACAATAAAGAAAACTAGGTTTTTTCTAGGGGGTGAAAGGAGTACAGGGTGTGTAGTAGAAATAGGGTAGGGGCAGGAGCATGGGGAAGCGTGTAAATGCCGGGCTGGCGGTGGGAGTGGGGGATGACCTGCCAGGCAAGAGGCTTCCCCGCGCTCGCCCCCACAAGGGGGTCGGCGCATATCTCATTTAATGCACCCCCCATCACCCCCCCCAAATGGAAAGCCGTGAGCTGATCCGTCGCCGCTTGCTCTCAGTGCGAAAACCCCGCCTCGGCCAGACCCCAGGCCCAAGCGGACGCAGAAAACTTCTGAGGGAGCGATGTGACGGGAGCGATTCCGGTTTATGGATGTTCGATGTTGGGCGAGGGGCAGCTTGAGCTTGAGCTCTCCTCTTCGGGCAGGTTTCGGTCCCGGCCATGCTCGCCAAGCAGGCCTGCTGTTGAGTGGTCTCAGTTCCGAGCCAATTTTTTTTTTAAAGGCGAGCCTTGCAAGCAACGTGTTTTCAGAAGGTGTCTTACAAAGACTTCGGGTTACGCCTGGAGCCTTCGCAAAGGCGGCTGTGGCCGCAGCTCTGGTGGCTGCGCTCCACGCGGCCCTGAGCTTCGCAGGCCGGTTGGGGTGCCTTGCAGCCCTGGGTATTCCGTGGAAGCTCATGCCCGGTGCTCGCAGGCCCCGCCCGCACGAATGCTGGCGCCGGGCCGTCCCTGCGAGGCACAGGCGGATGAAGTTTTAGCTGACGTGGGAGCATGTGGGAGCGCTCAGACTTGCGAGGCACCGTCCGAGCCGAGACGAGCACAGTTTCTGATGCCGCCGAGGCACTTGCTGATGTGCCTCGCATGCGTGTGAAGATGGCCTGTCTTGGACAGCGAGAATTGTAATGTTCGTCGATGGCCATAGTGCATAAGGCCCTACAGGCAGTGTTCTGTGGACCATAAAGAATTCAAAAAAAATGCTATCGGGCGGAGCCTTGGACACTTCACCTCGTCAGCTCCCGACTCACTGTCAGGAAGGAACTTGGAAGGCGGCATTACAGTAATGGTAGTAGGCAAAACAGAAGCAGTAGCAGGCGGCAGTGACGTTAAAGAAGCGGCAAAACCCTGTCTGTGAGGGCCTGGGGCTCCCTCGGAGTCTGGCTGCCGTAGCGCTTGCCGGTGCAGTTGTGGCGGGCACAGTTGGGCATGCCTTCTCGTGGCCTTTTGATGTCGCTTTTGGCATTCTTCATGTTCTGGGAGCCCCCTTTCTCGAAACGTCTCATCGCAGTCAACGGGTGGCCACAAATTCGAGGCCGTGCGTGCTCGCAAGTCTACAGCGCTGCGAGCCACTAGGTTGGGCTTTGTTCTTCTGTTCTTCGGGGGCGGATGCCGCTTCTCTGGGAAGGTTGGCATGAACCGTTCAGGGTTCAAAGCTCCAAAGCATACCGGCATTGACATGTTGCCGATGCTCGCGGATAAGAGGGACCACAAGGATGCCCATTGATGTTGGGAGTCTGTTGGGTTCCGAAGTTGTGCGATTCGACGTGGCATCTCTTGGCAAACACGGACAGGGTGGAGTGGTTCAGGAAGGTGAAGCGCATCAGTGCCAGCCCTATTCGTTGCAACTTTCCGGATTGAGTTTTCTGTAGCCAGTGCCTGCACTCTGGGCAGATATAGCAATGGAAGTTGTTCAACATACCTGTCCCAAACTAGGCACATGACATAAGCTGGGTTCCCTTCAGGTTAAAATTTCCCTGCAAGGAAGTCTGTTCCTAATCGTACCTCTTGCGGAGGACGTTTAGCACAACCCCCACAAAGGCCTGTTCAGACGATGGCCTCGCAGGTAGTGATAACAAACGAGAGATGTTGCAGGGCTCCGGAGCAAGCACAGCAGGGCGGGAGAGCGGAACTTCAACAATCATCCCAGACTGTGGTTGCTTCTGCAAGGTCCAAGCTTAACAGTTCTCTGGGGGGTAGTTGAAGCATCTTCCGAACTGCGGGAAGAGACTTTGCGCGAGCAAGACGTGGAGTGAAACGGGTTGTCAAAGCCCGCTGTCGATCTAAGGTGGAGATCGCGCTGTGTTCGACGTCTCCATCCCGTGCTTCACTCAGCGCAAGGGGCCCCAACAAAGTCTGCTGAAGCAGTGAGAGTCGCAGGAAGCCGCTGGGCTTGGCGTTGGAGGCCTTCCCTGATGGCCGAGGACGGGGAGAGCGCAGCGCAGCGATGGGCAAGGGGCAGTTTTCGGGTGTTCGAGGCGTGGGCATCAGTTCTATCACCCCGGAGAGCAATGCGGACCAGCTCAACAGGACACGCTGTTGCTGCGCACGCATTTGAGGCGTAGTGAGGCCAGCCCTGAAGGCGTTGCGATGGGCTTCCCACCTCCAGCATCTGCATGGCCTGTCTTAGTCTATGCGTAGCAAGCCTTGGAGGAAGGTCTGCATCACCGAGGAGGACAATGGTATGTGGGTCTTGGAGGGCGACAGAGCAACGAACTTAGGATTTGGAAGAGGACATATGCGACATGTCAGATCTGCTCCACACGTTCGGAGTCGACATCATGCCCCCTTGAGGGGGTTATCTATTGTAGACTGTGGACAGATTGTTCAAGGCACACTTGACGAGATTCTGCTTTCCCGTGATCCGTGATGTCCATCTGATATACCTGTCAAGCTGATCCCCCTCGATAGCCAGACTACCCTATAGTTTAAGTCCGCATTCTGCACATAGCTAGAAGCTAGATCGATGGTGTTGAAGAGTTTCTCCTAGGCGCTTGCATCATGATGTAGCTTCAAGCTGTGAGGAGACTTTCAGTGATTTCAGAACTTCCACCGGAGTTTGGCTCGGACGTAGACCGTGTTGCATCACATTTAGGGTCTCAGCAAGACTGACTGACTGAACAATACAAGGCCTGGCAGGATCCGAATTGGTGTGCAGTCAGTCTATCCGACTTATGTGATGTGGAGTGTGTGTCATAGTTTCGCTGATGAAGCTTGCACGTTGAAGGTTGCATGTTGAAGGCTTCCGAAGAACTGCGCAGGGGTGTAGGGTGAGCATGCAGAGGTCATTGGTATCAACGGCACGGAGACCGTTGATTCCACCGTCGAGGACATCGCAAAGTTCCGAACTTGAGTTGAAGTTTTTGTCTGAGTGCCATGCTCTGCTCTGCTGTAGTTGACTGCAGCTCGTGCGCTCTCTCTTGTCCATCTCAATCTGCAGCTGTGTAGCCTGCGTGGACTCCGATGTTGGAGCATCCCCAAAACCCTTCAACTTTTGAGTTTGCAACCCCGGTAATTCCAAACAAAAACGCCATTCGGCTCGAGCTGAAGCCAAACTTGCCGCCTCTGCGATCTGCCGAGGTTGGTAGGGGAGTCCGAGGGCGACTCGCCCTTGCCCTAGTCGCAGTGACCGTGGTGACCGTGACGCCCTGAACGACGATCTTCTCCGAGCCTTGAGCCAAGGGTGACCTTGACGCTGGTGCGCAACACTCGAAACGGCCCCATCAAGGCGGGCGGACTGTGCACGGAGCGAATTTCGTCTGCATCGGTGGAGAGATGTACAGTTGTTGACCTCACCGGGTCAAATCCCGACTCTAGGCATCAGCCTGTGTTGAACCTCGTATGGAGGTGGTGATCATGCCGGAAAAGAAGTTTGCGACTGTCCGCCAGCATCGCAGACTGTGGAATACTGGTTTTTGCACGACGTAGTCAGAGCTTCGTAGTATGGATTGCGCCGCTTCAGCTCTGCGACCCCTGAGTGCTCAAGGCCGGAATGCAAGGTTGTCCTCTGCTGTGGAGTTCGCCCTCGGCAGGGACGGGTGTGGTCTCTGTCAAAGTTGTGGGATTGTCGTGCAGTTTGCTTCCGCTGCCAGACATGTCTCTGCTGCGTGGCTGCTAGTCACAGTCAGTGCTGCTCCAACCGCTACTCGCAGGAGATTAAGTACGGTTGCATTGATGGATGGTCCGGGCCCCAGCAAGACATTTGCCTGCAGGGAAACATGATGCATTCTGGGGCACGTGTGTTAAGCCGCTTGTGGAATGAGACGAGAGGAAGACGCGTCATGGGGGTAAGTCTCGCTAAGCTTTTGTGTCGTCCAGGTGTGGCACCTGCTGGCACCGCGAGCGTACAACGGGGTGGCTTTTCAAGCGCGGAAGCCTGGAGGGTAGGACGAGAAAATGCGAAGGCTAATGGGCCGCACACTTGGTTGGTGAGGCCATGCTCCGACATGATCACCTCAGATTGGGACAATGTCATGCCCATGGCATGGACCCGAGAAGCTCCGCACAGCCAGCCAACATCCCTGCGAAGAGATGAGCGGTAAAGACTCTGCAAGTTTTGGCGCAGGTGCTCTTTCCAAAGCCAGAGAAGGCCGGTGATGCGACGCTTCTGCAGCCCCGCGGCGTTTGAACCTCGGGCAGTGCAACGCAAGGCGCTGTAGGCGATTCAGAAAGGTGAAAGGTGAGACGTCCTGGTCCTGCACTGTGTTCTTTAGACGCAGCCTTGGTGGGGCAATGAGTGGGGCAATCCGGCCGAGGCCTGAGCTTGGAGACGCCTTCGGCCTTCACCAGGGCCCTTTGTTTCAGAGAGCTGAGGAGCTGAGGAGCCTTCCCCTCTCCCTTCCCCCACCTTCCCCCCTCCCTCCTCATCCCTCCTCACCAACACCCCTCAGCCTCAGCCTTCCCAGCTTGCGATCCTGAGCGAAGGCGACAGGATGCCAATAGGAGATGACAACGGATGATAGGAGGCTTACAGCGGCTTACACATGTTTGCTGCACGCTTTGAGAGCTGTTTGGGATCCATTTTCGCCCGCAGGGCCTGTTTTGAATGCATACCGCAAGATGCTGACATCGTGAATGTCAGAACATCTCTGTTTAGCTCTTCTCTGCACTGATTTTGATCCAGCCTCCAGAGGTCAGCAACTTTCGGACAGCTTTCGGGTTTCTCCTTTTCACTGGCATCGAAACCATCGAGACACGACAACTTCCCCGCGATTTGTAGCGAAGGAAAGAAGCGCGGTTGCACGTGAAGCATTTGCATTGTAGAATCTTATCTTATCGGGCCTTTCCATGTCGGCACATTGTCTCGTACTCAATTGACATGACGGTCTCTGCCCCACACGCACTTCATCATCTGCGAAGAGGGAACCAGGAGTATCCCGTCCTCATCAGACTTACGAGGCCCGAGACACCGTGTCAGTTGCTTCTGCACTGACCGTGCTGCAACCACTGCACTGTGCTGGTATGTCAGTCCACATTGGATGTCGGTAGATACGAAGACCAAACCTTCCATGCAGCTCGTAGAAGATCCAGCTGCTTGAAACGGGGCCGGTGAAACTAGGGAAAGGTTTCAGGAAAGGACGGTGATGGCTGCCGCCGTCCATATCAAGCAGGAGCTAGTCGTGCTTGGCAGGCATGTTGCGCAGGATCGCCAGGCATGGCTTCGTGTTTCCTGTAGGGGAAAATATGGCGGGAAGGGCAGTTGGCGAAGAGCATGCCAGGGCCCCGCAATTTGCGATGAAGCCTGGAAGATATGCATAGCAGCAGCACCAACATTCGGTCTCACTCTGCCGTTGGCATTACCAGACAAAATCGTACAGCTCTGCAGTGCAGGTGTCGCTATATCGCGCTGGCATATCTGGCAATCGTACGGAGAGCTCCTTATCTGGGATGTCTTGAGGCCTGTAGCGCATGTACGGTCTTCTAAGGTGTTCTTGCAAGGGTTTTCGTGAAAATCGTGTCTGCACATGCCGCTGCAGCACCGCACTTGGGGCTGCCACCAAGGGACGGGGCCCGGGGTGGTAGAGTCTGGTAGAGCACATCATTGCGAGCTGCTGTTGGCGACAGCAGGCACGGAGGGAGGATCTCTGACCTGCGATCTTCTGCCCAGGCTTTCGTAGGCGGATGGGCCGGCGAGGCACGGCGAAAGGTTCCTTTTTGATGCATGGCTGTGACTGGATAATGTGCTCGCTGCAAGGCCAAGCAGCTTTCGAGAGTTCCTCGCGCTGGAGTAGAGGACAGAGCTCTTCTGAGTTCTTTCGTTGGAGTAGCTCGAGGGTTTTTGTCGATAAGAGGTTTGACTGTGATCAGCACTGGAAGCTCCAGAGAGCTGTGCCGCTTTGCCGATCGTCCTGCAAGCCTGGCCGAGCCAGGAGACCTACGCTGAAGGCTTTGGCTGCTTAAAGTCCGGGTGCCGTCGGCATGGTTTTTGGCATGTTTGAGGGAGCTGCAGAGTGAATCTGGACAGTGGCCATGACACTGATATCATATCCCCAAAACTGGCTTCGTCGACGACCTCACATGTGCCACAGATTGGAATCTGGAGCCAGAACGGACTTCAAGAGAGGGGTGCGCTGCTTGCAGGAGGCGCCGATGAGGGTTGCAGGTGGACTTGCATTTTAGAGTACCGTGGATGTGCCTTCTTAATAATATATATATATATATATATAGACATTTTTCATTTCGAGCGATGGAGTCTGGTTAGACGCACGCCTAGCAAGCAAAGATGAATTCGTGAAACAAGGACCACAGGCAAAGACCTGGTGAGCACATACCAGCAGAGTGGCAGCGGAATCCTAATGCAGTGAGCCACACACGGCCAACTGGCAGGCAATTCCAGATGCCTTCACAAGTCAAGCGGACGGGATGTTGCGGAGCGTTATTGATGCATGCCGCTAGCATACAGCATGCCGCTTCAGACCACTCTGCAATACCTTGCCCTTGCCGAACAGTAATGCTGGTAGGCTCGTGGAGGTCAAAGGTGCAAGGGGGAGGAGGCATCAAGGTGCGCTCCTTGCACGCTCCAGACATGGCGAAACAAATCTGCACAGGATTCGACGGATCCGGAGCTGCATCAGAAAAGGGCCTCGCAACCTTGTGGGAAACCGCGGTTTCTTCGGCGGTGACTGCCGGGTCAAGCATCAGGAGGAGGTTCTCGGAGGTTTCCCGTCGCCACGCGCTGTAGCGGTCACTATCGCGCCATGCCATCACTGTACGCCGTAGCACCGCCAGAGGCTCTATCACAGTGGAAACACATTCCCAGACCACAGACTCATCAGCGCCCCCAAGCGCTGCAAGTTCATCGCGCAGCATGCCGTCCTCAGTATCCCTCAGCACTTCGTCAACCGTAAAATTGCCAGAGACATGGTTGGGCGGTGCAAGGGGATGAGGAGCTGCATTGATCGAGGCCTCCTCTGCAGGCACAAACCTGCCCCAATTCCTTTTACAATTGGGGACACTGACAAGGTGCCTCCGAAGACGGCCTTGGCTTGAGAACTGCTTGGCACACGCCCGGCAAACGGCAAGAATGTGAGCTTTGCTGCGATAGCCATGCATTCTCGCAGCGTGACCGGACCACGCTGAGCGATTGCTGAAGGCGCGCCGGCATGGTATACACATTTCAGCGCAATGGTCCGAAGCCCTCACGTCGACTCTGGAGGGGCGCGAAGGGTCCTCACCAGCTGCTAGGCAGGCTGCCCGATGCAATCCGTCATGCAAGGCAAGGAAGTGGAGGCGGTAGTGGTCGAGAGCACATGCGCGCTTCAGCAGGCCTTTGAAACGCCCTGGACGCCGGAGCATGAGCTCAGTCCACATGTGCCGAGCTTCGGCATGGTTACCGAGATCAGTGGTGGCATGGATCCGCTGGAACATCCAACGCATGTCCGCGGCCAGGAGTTCCGCATAGGGGCGGTCCGCACGGATCGCCGCCCATAGCACTGCCGGCCCAGCTCGCATAATCTGGCATAGGTATTGAAGCCGGCATTTGCGCAGCAAGGTGTCAGGGCTGGGCAGTCCTGTGAGCGCGAAGCATGCCAACGCCGTAAAGTTTTGCTCCGCTGCTTTGGGGATGCACATAATGCCCCGGCAAAAGCCCCAGACTGCTGTGTCAAAGATCTGACGATCGCGTTTAGACAAAGCCGGCCATGCACCAGCGCCTTGCGTCAACTTGGCAAGGACTGTTGCCTGGAGGATGTGCGCCTTGCGAGACACAGTAATGCGCCCATTTTTGTAGACTTTGCGTCTCGCCTCATGGTACGCTGCGTACGCCTGGGCTGCACGGTACCGAAGCTCTTCGGTCATGGCTCCTGATGGGGACTGCTGTACTCCCAAATGCCGGTAGGAGACGACGAGCGGCAGCATTGCTGCTCCCTGATGCTCTCCCAGAACCTTGACACGGCTGTTGCCTGCGCTCTTGCCATAAAGGGCCTGTCGCATAGCGCGTGCTCCGGCTCCTCGTGTAGTGCAGACGGCTGCTGCTTTGTGAGGGCCATACGCAACAGTGACGCCTGAAATTGCTGCTCTGAGATTACACGGTCGGCGTCTGATGCGTGGGACTGCGATATCATCCGCCCAGATCACGTCGTCAGCACTGACTATATCCTTGGACGTGCAAGGCTCCAGTGTTCTGACCCCGTCCCAAAGGAAAGTGGGCGTCTCGCAGTGGGATGTGTTATCGGCACGAAACTCATTGCGGCGCGCAAGGATTTTGGGCATCAACAGGGCGAGCAGGAGGTCTGCGAAAGACGAGCCGGGCCGTGTACCACGCAGGGTACTGACAGGCACCGAATCATCACGAAGCAAGAACCAGTTGCCACTTGACATGCGTGTGGCAACACTGGTCAGCCATGTGCTGGTGGTGCTGTGCTCCATAGCTGCTGGCTGCTCAAGCAGTTCGCCTTGTGTGACTTTGAGTTTCGCTGTCAGCTGGAGAAAGGTCTGATCGCTGATGGCGCCGACCTCCCACCAATTTGCATCGAAGGCGCCGTAGCTTCGAAGTGCGCCTTGAGTGGAGGGCGCAGGCATTTATGGCATGCCCTAGCCCATGTTGACAGGACACCTGTTCGTAGAGCCTAAGCCTAGCCTCATGCACGGGCTCGGCATCTTTCCTGAATGCACTATGCCAAGACTGGTCAGGCCCTTGAGCCACGTCCCCCAGCTCCTCCTCGAGCTGGGTCACCGGCCCCTAGTAATCCTCGGGCACGGCCCACCCGGCTTTCTCCTTGGCTTTGGCCTTCGCCTTCGCCTTAGCCTTTCCTTGGGCGGTAGCGCCAGGTTCCACCTTGGAATCGTGGTCCTCCTTGGCTTGGGCTCTCAACTGCGCAATCCTCCCATCAACATCTTTTGGGTTGATCTTAGCGCCGTTTCGTAACCCACCTTTCCTGAGGACCTGCGTCGCCACCGAGTAGTCCAGCTTGCTCATAGCGGGCAGGGGCTCGTGTGCGTGAGGGCAATCGGCTCGTTGACAACCAATGTGGCAAGCTGCATCCCAACAAATTGGCTTCTTCGACTTTTGGTGTGCAGCTTCTCTTCCAAGGATAATCCAGTCAGAGGTACTGTAGCCGGAGGCGTGCGAGCTTTCACGGGCTGCCGGGGGGTCGCACCTCTCACTCTGGTCGCTGGCGGCGTACCCAAGACTGGGCATTTCCCGCAGCCCCCGGAGGAAGTCAGGTATGGGTCGTCGAGGGCCGATGTCATGTAGCCAGGATTCCCTGGGAGGCCGTCTGCCTCCGCCGTCGCAGAGGCCAAGGCCCGCTCGAAGTCTTGC